TTTAACAAAACTTCCCTATGGATTAAAAAAATGATTTTTAATCCTAAACTACGACCATTTACTACGCCTTAAAAATAATTCCATGAACTTATTTGTAAAAATATTGTGGTGTCATTGAGAAATGTCACTAAGCCTATTTGAAATTTTTTTCTATCGAGAGAATTACATGATGTCGTGTTTTCCTTTTATGCAAGTAATAGTCATATAGTCAAAAATCATATACCAGAATTTTGGTTTGTAATCTATAAAACTTAAAAAAATATGTAAATTAGAAAACCACCATATTTTCGAGGTATCACCTTATTACATAGAACGCAACCAATCCGAGTTTCTCCACAGGCGCCAATAATTGCACTTACCAAATTGCAAATTTTGATTTAATTAGTGGGGTATGGTTATTTTTGCAACTTTGGCATCCGAACTTATCATGATCTAGTTAGTTATATTTTAAATTATATTTTATTAAAGCTTATGTAAGCAGACGAACAGGAAGTCTAATAAAAACTCGCGTAAATAACCATATAGCTGAGAGCATCGAAGCTCTGAGGAGTGTGCAGCGAGCATGTCTATGATCGTCCCTGTTATTACATCATATTTGATAGTCTACAAACGCCTTAAAAAGTAACACCGGTTCCTGCCAAGTGTGATTCGTAAGGCCAATAAAATTAAAAAATATATCCAAATGTGAATAAAGAGAAAGATAATGCTACAATGTTGTTTTATTTTTGGCAAATATCACATTATTTCCACAAGTCCAGGGTTGACTGGGACAGAATGCCAAAAGGCATTTAGTTTCCCCTTTGTAATCCTTTTAATTAAGGTGTTTTATAGAAATAAATAAACAAATTCAATCGTATCCCAAACGCCTTCACTAATACAAGAATTTTAGATATTTTAAGTTAATTAAGCGTAGAACTTATCTAAAAATTAGGTAGGTATTTGAAGCTAAGAGTAGCTCCCAGGTTTGCTTTGCTCTCTATCTGTTCGTGAAGCGTTAGCACGGAAAGACAGAGAGAGACAAATTTTTTTAAAATAGTTATTCATGTAATTGCATGCAAATAGTCCGCTCAGCTCAATATCAGGCAGTTTATTAAACTTATACCATATGGCATTCTCTCCCAGCCAACTATTAGGTTAAGTAGAGATAAACATATGGGGAGTAGTGCAGCAAACATAAATTAATATTGAAAAAAAAAATAACGATGTAATAGATAAACCAAATATATATGTATATATAAATACATAATCTCTATATATAAAATCTATTGCTGTCCATTAGTATCGCTGAATTTTTGATAAGCAAAATATATAAACAAAAAATATATTTTACGTGGTTTATACCTGGTAGAGCTACACTGCAGCTATTATGGTTATAGCATGAATGGGTCGGCTCGACCGGGGAAGAACCACGCTCCCACAGTATACCAGCGTAAAATAACAGCTTAATGCTGTAGTGTTTTGTACGGTGAGTGTAGAGAACCGGAGATACGTTTTACTGGAATTGAGGCATTCCATGTTACTCCTCAAAGTTGACAACTCATCTGCATTTTGATTCTTAACCGAAGTTAAATGTGGATTTCTATGAGCCACATCATCCACTTACCATCGGATGAGAGTGTGCTCGTTTGCCACCATTACCCTATAAAAAAGTTTACACATAAATTGTATTAGATATGTAAACCATTATATATTACATAAATATGTAAAGAAACAACCTTTTAATTATTATTTTTATAGGATAAAGGTGAAAAAGGGACACACAGTCCACCTGATGGTGGTGGTAAGCTAGCAGTAGGATCCAGCCTCGCAGATCACGAGTGAAGCAAATTACTCGAAATAGCAGCATTTTGAAATAATACTAGTTTTTACGGAATTTATCGCGTATATTTAACTTTTTAAATACCCGACGTTTCGAGAGCTTTACAGCACCCATGGTCACGGGAAGGACTTAGATGTTCAACGTCCAGATGTCATAGTTAACCGCGGTTACCATAGATTAAAATTTAACTTTTGTTCCGATCTACACAGTATGAACTTATGGTATCATGAAGTCTTGCAGTTGTATGCTTGGGTTGGGATTTAATTTTATTTATTATAGGATCCCAAGCAGATGGTGAAGTTAAATTTTAATCTATGGTAACCGCGGTTAACTATGACATCTGGACGTTGAACATCTCAGTCCTTCCCGTGACCATGGGTGCTGTAAAGCGTTCGAAAAGTCGGGTATTTAAAAAGTTAAATATACGCGATAAGTTCCGTAAAAACTAGTATTATTTCAATGTGTAGTGTTCGCGTAAATATAAGAAATCATTATAATAGCAGCATTATTAATCACTGGTCAATCTTTATTATTATTGCTATTGCAACAGAAAAGTTCAACTGCAATGAAATTAGAAACGTCATATAAAATTAATTAGAACAGCGATGTGCAGCAGAAACTCAATTGTTTTTGCTTATAAGAAATTACATGGAATTTCCAAACATCGATATATGTCACGTTTGTTGTAAATAATTTGCCTTCAGCTTAAAGTATCTGTATAACGTGTACCTATGTAATTGTATTGTCATTATGATTCGAAGTCAAAACATGAAGTGAGGAATAATTTTATGCACAGTAATTTTTGTATCCAGTTTACTCGTAGTACTTTTGAATAAAAAAGCTAACGTTACAGCCCATGTACATCCCACAGCTGGGCACAGACCTCCTCTTATTTCTGAGAGAATTTTAGAACAGGGAAGTGTCCGCCGCGGTACCATTCGCGTAGTGTATATTTTCTTTGGCGGTACCCCATGCGTGTTAGCGAACTTCACATTTCTTCGAAATATTTATTTTAATGTTTCTCAGACACGCCTTTTTCCTTCACCGTCGAGGACGTGGTAAATCAGAACACAAAATTTTAATTAACAATTTCATTGGTGCCGGCGGGGATCGAACCCGGGCTGCTTGCGTACTGTGAAATTAACAGCGAGCGCTTAGTCCCTGAGGTTCCACGTGAAGAAACTTTTGAAGAAAGTATAGGCTAAATTCACCCGTCTATATAAAGAGTATAATATAACTATTATATTTTATCTATCTCTATCAATTCATCTCTACTTGTTTGATTTTTTTCACTTTTACGTACTTTTCAAACATGACCTATCTTTTTTTTTATAGATTAGGGGTGACAAACGAGCACATAGACATCTTTATTTATTCTCGATTAAGAATCATAATGCAAATGCATTGTTACTCCAGAGAACTAAGATGGAATGCCTCGTTTCCAGTAAAAAAAGTCTCCGGTTCTGTACCCTTACCATACGAAGCACAGCAGCCTTAAGCTTCTATTTTACGCTGGTATTCTGTGAAAGCGTGGTCCTACCCAGGCCGAGACGACCCATTCGTGCTACAACCATACTCGTAATATAGGTTAGTTAGAAACCTTGAACTTTAGTTGGTTAGAAACCTTTTGAAAGGTGTACTTGGGTTTAATGGAATGAAGTTTAATGTACGTAATTTTGACGTAATTGACCACAAATCATTACTCAATGAAATTCTTTTGTTGTGTGAGGAAGTATTTTTAATAAAAATCAGAAATATGAACGTAGCTTGATTCTTTCAAATAAAACTGAAGTGACCAACGAACTTATAGTTCATCTGATGATGACTGCTTGCTCCAGACCGTGAAAACCTGCAGCAAACTTCAAATAAAGAAGGTTATATAGGCGTTGCCATGTCTGAAGACTAAGATGGAATGCCCTCTACAATATACTCTACATACAGAGTCAGTAAATTAATTCTTGGTGCAATATATGCGCTATTACAACAAGGTACCAGAATATATACAAGGTCTCTCTATTATCAAGATTAAGTATTAAATTAACCAAAAACTGGGGACGTGGTTCCCCCGAGGTGTGTTGACCCCAGACGTTTTCCACGTGCCACACTGCAGCTATTGTGGTTGTAGCATGAATAGGTCGGCTCGACCGGGGAAGGAACACGCTCTCACAGAATACCAGCGTAAAATAGCAGCTTAATGCTGCTGTGTTTCGTATGGCGAGTGTAGAGAACCGGAAACCAGTTTTACTGGAATCGAGGCATTTCATATTAGTCCTCAAGGGTGACAACGCGTCTGCATTTTGATTCTTAAGTGAGGTTAAATGTAGATGTCTATGAGCCACAGCATCCACTTACCATCAGGTCAACTGTGTGCTCGTTTGTCAGCCAATGCTATTAAAAAAAACCTTGTAAGTTTAGTGCTGAAGCTACAATATAAATGAGTCAGTTATGGACGACATGCACACACGGAATGTCAGCACAAAATAAATACTGCTAGTAAGTAACGTGAACAGACGTATTCAGGCATTGTTTTAGAAGACGATAACTCAACAGCACAACAGATTTTAAATGCTCAATTGAACACAATGTCTTTCTCAGGTCGTCTTGGTGTGTTCTGAAATTAGCAAAATCGGCCAGTAAAACATAAAGAATAAAAAGTAAAGTTAATATTGTTAACACGCTGTGCTGTCTTATTTGGGTTCTCCCAAGAGTTATAAAGCATTGAATCCGCCGCGCTGCGCTGCTAGAAATATTTATGCCTCAGGCATGCAGGTTCCATTGCCATGTTCTCCTTCATCGCCGCGCAAGTTGTAATTAAGCACTTAAAAATTAATTAATAATTTCATTGATACCGACAGGGAATCGAACTTGCTTTGCTTGGATATTGTGAAATTTTAGGACTTAATCTTTAAGATATCAGGGTTTGCCAGAGTACATTATCATCATCAATTTATGTTAAATTAATTAGTCCACTATTTTAAGCATTTTATAGGAAGTGCACTCGATTGCGTTAGCAAAAAATTCTCGGTCAGATGTTTTAATATGTCGAGTAAGTCATCTTACCAAAATTCTACTTGCATTAACAAAAATAGGTATAAATACTAACACAGTGTTTGTTTCGTGTTGTATTAGTATATACCCTTCAATAATGAAGGTCGTGCATACAATATTTGTAACGACAGTTATGAGTGCGGTGAGGCCGGCTCCGATTAGTGAAGACCAACCAGAGAAAGCTGTTCTAACAGTAATAGAAAACATTGAAGACCTTAGAGACAAACGCTCAAATTACGGATATCCTTACGTGAGCCCTTGCGCTGCTGCCTCGTCTCCAGTACCGTCCATCGCTCCACCTGTATCCTATCAACTCAACTTGGATCCCGTACAACAATACATGCGTCCCTACACATACGGATATAATTATCATTATCCTCATTACCGTTCAGTGGATCAAAATGAAAATGAGCTGCTCAGCTTCTCAGATGTAGACCACGTAAACTCGGACAGTGCACCTCTGGGAACTGAAGGACTGCCTGCTTATTATCCCGAAGAACCTAGAATAGCAGTTATAAATCCTCAAGTTGCCCCAGCACAATCCTTTGCGTCTTTTGGGGTGTTTCCTTATATCAATCCTAGTGCTCTAAATGTGCCTTTTGTATTAAGCTGTTCACCATCAATAGTGCAAGGTCAGATGGTTCAGGCGCAACCGCAATACTACACTGGATATCGTGCTCCAGACATACACAGGAACGTCGATTTACAGAAATTGTATGAAGCTCCAGGTCACGTACAAATGGCGCAAGATTTGGCAACTTCTCAGAAACCTAATGAAATTCCCTCTAAATCCCTGTGAAAAGTATTTTAGTGTAACATATGCTTTAATTTGTTAAGTTTTAATGTGTTAAGTCTGATTAAACTTTATTACAACATCATGCGTTATTAATTATTCTAATAAAGTATATTTGTAAAATAGTGTTTCACTCGCTCACTCCATTTCGTCTTGTGCAGTCTTCAGAGGTGACTTTAAGTAAGGCTAGAAACGTCATCACGCATCGGGATCCTTAAAACCCTCCCATTTCTGAGAGGGTTTTAAGGGTATCGATGCGTGATGGCACGGCCTTTAGCTATCACAACTCTATACACGTAACATTTTTTTAAATCGATACCTCCACACTAGGATTTTCCCCTGTATCGTGGGGGCAGTTTAAATACATAAATATCACAAGGACAAATATCCAGATCCGTAACAATTATTTGTAGGCCATACAATTTTCTTTTATATATAAATAACTTTCCTTACATAGTAGGGAGGTAGGGGGGGGTAACCATGATATAGTATCATTTGCTGAAGACACTTCATTATTTTGCAAATCAAAACGACAGTTACTAAATTATGACGAAGTAAATAATGTTATATCTGAATTAGTAAATTGCTTTAATGTTAATAATTTGCATTTAAATGGCACTAAAACTAAATGTATGAAATTCATAACTCCGAATATCAAACATGTCAGTACTAATTTAATTTTAAACGGGGAGGAGTTGAGTCTTGTTGATGCCACTATTTTTCTTGGAATCACACTGGACGCAACCGAGTTCGTAATTCATTCTTGGGGCGATGTATACGCTTTTACAACAAAATCCCAGAAAATATACAAAATTTGACCTGCATTAAGTTCAAAAACTGTATTAAACTAATTTTGTATGAAAAGGGTTATTACAATATTAAGAAATGTATGGATGATAATAACCCTTGGGAAGGGTGATCGCTACCAAGTTATTTCTAACTTTCCTGTTAACTATAACAGACATAATTGCAAGCTGTTATTTTTTTTTAAATTTCTGTTGGGTTTCTCGCTTGTTCTTCCCAGGATCGAGTTTTTTTTCCGAACCAGTGGTAAATTAAAAATAGTGACTTTCGATAGGTATTAAGGTACCTGCGAGTAATAAGACCTGTCGACTAATAACGTCTGAGTATCAAAAATCATATTTATAATGATCGCTTTTGCTCAAGGAGATAACAACAGACTCCTATTACACGATAATGTCTCTACAAGTTTGCAGAGACGCGCTACCCCACGTCCTGCCACCAGAGTTGCATTATATCTTAAGTTCATAAGATACGACCGCACTTCACCAATAATAAAAATCAGTCCAAATAAATAAGATATCTTTTGTAGTATTGCACTTAGCTATTTAAAAGTGTAATCTTTATTTATTAACTTATGCCATTAAATTATGTGTACATTATTAGTCCAGCGCCTAAGCTCTCTCGAACCGTGTCGGTGTGCGATTTGATGATTGTGAGGGAATAGAGAGTGCCCCTGTGCTTGCGCACACATTCGGACACTATGATTCTGTACTATGCAGATGGGCTAGTCTCCGTGGAGAATGGCCGTTGTGATAAAATTTCCGTTGGGGGGACACTCAACCCAACAATAAACCCAACTCTTAACTCAACCTTTTTTTACATGGGGAGAATGCCTACGCATAACCACCTCGCGGGGGCAAGGACGGGTTATGTCGGACTCGCACCGACTTAAACCTGTGCCTAAATCTTTAACAAATCTTTCAAACAGAAATCTATCTCTATATTGTAGGTCATATTTTTCAAAAGGATGAGAAGTCTGAAAAAGTTGAAACTGTTTTGAGTGAGGTAATTGAAGTCCAGGAGTGTAAAAAACTACAACAATACTACAAACTCCTGTAGCACCCAATATAACTACAATACCTAGTGTGATTTTGTAATAAAAGTTATTATAAATCTATTTAATATAACTTTGATATCCTCTCCAATTTCATTAATAGCTTTATTAATCACAATGTGTTCCACCTTCGTCGCATGTTGGCAGGGCCACGGGAACGCTTTCGCACATATCCGCGGCCCGACCAGCGTCGGCCGCTCTATGGCGGCGCCTCCTCGGAAGAGGACTACTCTCCCCTTTCTCCTTCCTCCTCCACCCCCGCAGCCCCACCACCACCGCATCAACGGTGCGGCCCCGTATGAGTCGTGGAGGAAAAGGCGAGAGGCGCATCGCCATACCAACACTCCTATTCCTCCGCGTCTCCACCTGGGCTGCAGCGGTAGGGGGAGAGGACACTACTCTCGCCGCAGCCCACCAGCACACATCCGAAGTGGACTCGGCAAGCCTACTCGGAGTGGCCACCTCGGGCCGGCCCTTCACCTGGGGCCAGCCATGTGGGTTCCTCTTTGTTCACCGCGGGGGACCAAGCCACGGCTACTAAGCCCCCCCCCCCCTCGCCACGACAAGGCGGGAACCCATTCGGGGGGGTCTTAACTCAACCTAACACTCATCTCAACACGAGACACAACCGTCGCGCTGATGTTAATCACGAGGAGTGCAATTTGTTTGTCAGTTTGTTATTCATTAAATAAATATATTACGTATAGTTAGATTATAGGGATTCGTTAAAGCATGCAGTAGGCCTTATTACCCTACCACAGTAAAATAAGACCTACTAGCAAGGTTTTAAGAAATGTTTAATTTTGTTTATATTTATGGCAAATTTAAAAAAAAAATTGTAGACCAAATTAAATATTTCTCCTTATTATCCGCAGGTACTATATATATATATATATATATATATATATATATATATATATATATATATATATATATATATATAAAATCTATATTGAATAAAAACATTTCTGTTTGTAAAAAATACTTGTTCTGTGCGGAATTCGAACCCGCGGCTCTTAGTGCTGCGTCTCATTGCTAACCCACTGCGCTACGGAGCCGTCAAATACATTTGCAAGTCTTGTCCCAATGCCGTCTGGAGAATTATTCTTCCCTAAGCACGTCAAGAATAAAATTTTAGTATGCAAATTGTTGCCACGGCTATTGAGCCGTATAGCTCAGGGGCCAAGCGATTGTTGCAAATTTCACAAGAGGCTTGCAGCTCGGGTTCGACCCCAGCCGGCACCAATGAAATTGTTTATTGCTAATTTTAAATGCTGATTTAGCACGTGCTCGACAATAAAGGAACACATCGATGGGCAAACTTGCATGTCCGAGAAATAAAAAGGCTTTTTTCCAGAAACAATTGGTGCGCGCGCATAGTGCGTACAAAATGTGACCGAAGTTGAAAAGAATGCGACTAAGTTCATATGGTACAAAAGAATTCGTTACCCCATATCATTACTTAGGTTTTTTTAGAGTCGAGGAAAAATCCCATGTCGCGGCAAGGTTTTATGAATCTGTCGTTGTCTATATGGAGGTCAGTTTAGAAGTTCGTTTAAGGCCTTAGGTTCAAGCAAACATTTGGAGTTGGAAGGTTTGTGAATCGTGTAGTGCTAGCATTATACTTTCTGGTATTGTCTTGATATACTTGGTATGAACGTTTTATATCTTGATATATCTTGGTATACACGTTCGCGTAGGATAATCATAGAGTGGAATGTTAGGTGCAATTCTTTCACGTTTATTGGTCTATAATTTCAATTCATTGTTTACTACGAGTTGAGATAAGAAAACATAATCACAATTATGACTTTATATCGAAGCTAGATCTCCTCGGTAATAATGTGAAATTATGCATACTTAGCGTAATGTCTGTAATTCCCAAGGGATTCGTCAATCATCTGTATGGGTTAGGCAGAATCTGCCCACGCTACTTGAACCACGTTAAGCCAAAAAATATGAGCATACAAATTAAAAAAATAGCTTAAAATCACGAACGTGCCCCAGTCTTCTAAATATACACAACCAATTTTCTGCAGGCCCCATAATCAGAGAGCAACTTTTACGTGTTATAGCCACGACGCAGCTATAGTATGGTTGTAGTACGAAAGGGTCGGTTCGACCTGGGAAGGACCATGCTCTCACAGAATACCAGCGTAAAATAGCAGCTTAATGCTGCTGTGTTTCGTGTGGTGAGTGTAGAGAACTGGAGACCCTTTTTACTCGAAACGAGGCATTCCATCATACGCCTCAGGGGTGACAACGCATCTGCATTTTGATTCTTATTCGAAGCTAAATGTGGATGTATATGGGCCACAGTATCCACTTACCATCAGGTGAACTGTTTGATCCTTTGTCACCACCTTTGTATAAAAAAAGTAAATTAGGTTTTAAATAGAGTTTGCAATTTCAGTGACGACGCGGCTCATCAAACTACTCGCGCAGCGTGACAGCCAGGGTTAATAAAAAATAAATAAATAATGAAGTTATTCATTCAAGTTGGCATATTATTGAAAGAAAATAGAAACTAAGTATATATCACGTTTCACATTATTCCAACTTGCTTAGAACAATAGCAAATATTAAATTTAGTAAATATTTACTAAAAACGTACTCTACTCAGAAAAACCTTCGTACTTGTTGCCAGAGCATTTTTATAATTAGAGCTGTTATAGCATAATTATATTAGATTTTTTTTACACAGATATTATACACAAAGTGATACATATTAATACACATTATACCATTTTTCTTTATATCAAAACACATTTTGTTATGTTTAAGATTCACATTTTATCTGCCTTACTTACCTTCCATTTAAGTTATACTTAATATGTTAGTCTGTTAATATGTAATAGGGAAGAGCGCTGTGATCTGAAATACAGATATATATTTATCTCGTTCAGACACAGATGTTCCATCATTCTTTGTGAACTAGGTATAGATCATAGAATAGTTATTTATAAATGTGATAGTTATGAAGGCGGTGAAAATAAAGTATTATTATTATTAAAAAAAGGGTAAAATCCCTTTATGAAGCAAACTATAGGGTTTTCGCCATAGTTGCCACGTATGGCAGTTGCAGTGTTTTTGTTTTTTTATTTGTTATCAGGAAGATGTTGCTGCCCATCTCCTATATCAGTTTCGC